CAGACAGGTCATTCCGAGTGAGAATAGGCTCAACCTATTCCTCTCCAGCGCCGGTCTCCATTGGAGTTCCTCAAGTCTCCGTCTTGGGACCACTCCTGTTTCTGATCTACGTCAACGACCTCCCGGATGTTCTTGCGAGTCCATGTCTACTTTTTGCGGACAACTTGAGATCCTGGAGTTCCAATGCCCGTGCTCTCCAAATGGATGTAGACGCTGCCAAGCAGTGGTCGTTGGACTGGCACCTTCCTCTGAATGACGTAAAGTCCATATGTCGTTTGGAGGGGACTCAGCGAATACCTTTGTTATGCATGGTGATAAAGGACCAGGAAACATCATCGGGACAGACGCCAAAAAGGATTTGGGAATGTGGGTCCCCTCAAACTTGTCCTCACTGCACCATGAGAAATCGGCCCAAAAGGCATTCGCCGTTTCACGGATGATCCGACGCACCTTCTTCCGTATTACTCGCATGGACTTTCAAATACTATATGGAGCCCACGTCAGACCGCTCCTGGAGTACGCTAACCAAGTTGTCTACCCAGGACGCACGAAAGACGTCACCCTCATTGCGCGTGTCCAGCGGGCCGCTACGAAAATGGTTACCGGCCTCAAATCCGTGGACTACGAAACGCGTCTCGCGATGCTTGATATCTTTCCCCTGGAGTACCGTCGCCTCCGAGGGGACCTAATTCTTAATTTTGTCCTGTTTGAACAAAGCTTGGCCAATAGGCTTTTCACCGTTGACCCAGCAAACGCGGCGGGGACATAGTAAGAAAATTTTCAAACTCAGAGCACACACATTCATCAGACAAAATTTTTTCTCATTTCGGGCAGTAGGTGAGTAGAATGGCCTTCCTCCGATTGTTGCCCACGCTCCTTCTAGAACCCACTTTAAAGCACTATTAGACATTTATTTATGCGAATCCTCGCGCTGGCAAGCATACTGTCCCGCGCTGAGAACATAAAGGGCAGTGCTACACTCTTTTTTCACTTGTGCCTTTCAGGTGAACGACAGCCACTGATCGACAAAAACAAAATCGACCCGGGAAACTTGGACAAAAGCCTCGATCCTGTGTATCAATATGTGAATCGATGTATGTCACCGTGAATCTCAGGCACGACCCGATGACCTTGAGCTGTTGGGGTATTACCCAGGCCGCGGATATAGAAGTGATGGTGACTTACCCCTCTTATGCTGAGCGAGGAAGGGATAGGGTTTCTACCAAGAGAACCTAGGTTAAGTTGAAATCTAGTGAGCTCGCTGGTTTTGAAAAAAAATAAACAGTGGCTAGTCTGAACGATTAAGAATTCCGTCTTTAAAGGGGTTGTGGTGGCGTGGCGGGCCATAACAAAGAACATTAAACAGCCACTCGTTGATTGCATCAAGGGCCACTCAACCGGTTTTGTCATTACTGTAATATGCACGCTATGGAAGCACCAGGGGAAAGTGATTCCGAAGGCGGGTGTTCACGACGATTTCTGTGGATGGAAAACAGAAATAAAGCTTGTGAGCCAAAGCCCAGTAAGCGAGGTTGTACATCACTAATACTTACATATAAGTCAATCAAACTGACAAACACCGTATACTACATTACGAATCCATCTGTGGTGTGTGGTTCACACGAATTAAGACTAGAGTCCTTTGACGCGAGACTGGACTGTTTTATACCATTCTTTTGCAGTTTCATTGTCCATCTCACTTTGATACTTCAGTCATCGAAGTCAAATATCTTCGGTTTTTCAGCCGGCTTATTCTTCAACAACACGCTCCCCAAACCAGGGCCTAAATGTCAGCCGTCACTAATACTATAAGTCAATCAAACTGACAAACACCGTATACTACATTACGAATCCATCTGTGGTGTGTGGTTCACACGAATTAAGACTAGAGTCCTTTGACGCGAGACTGGACTGTTTTATACCATTCTTTTGCAGTTTCATTGTCCATCTCACTTTGATACTTCAGTCATCGAAGTCAAATATCTTCGGTTTTTCAGCCGGCTTATTCTTCAACAACACGCTCCCCAAACCAGGGCCTAAATGTCAGCCGACAGGCTTGAATTCTACTTAAACCAGCTGCAGACTGATAACCCTAACGTGTTAATTGAAACGCTTATTGCCGCTACGGAAGCCCCAGGTTAGAACCACTTTTTTCAATATCAACGTTTCCTGTAGGACTGTTTGTTTTTGGCGAGTTCTTAGATCACCCTTGTGTACGAAATTTGTCGCACGGTCCACATGCTGCTTTTGCTGATTTGTTAAATCTCTTCTGCTATGGGTCTTTTGAAACGTATTTGGCTGAACCGACTAAATATCCTGAACTGAGTTCTGCTCAGATTCGAAAACTGAAGCAGCTATCGATAATCGACGAGGCCCATTCACGGAAATTGATCCCATACGAATCCCTTTTTAAAAAGCTTGACGTGGAATCTTCCAGAGAATTAGAGGATTTGATTATCGAGCTTTTCTATCTAGACGCATTGACTGGCAAATTGGATCAGCAGCGTGCTCTGCTGGAGGTCGACTCAGCAATCGGCCGTGATGTTCGCATTGAACAGGTGGGTGACTGATTAGATCGGACCACTGAAATAATTCAGATCCCCGAACTGAATGCTACTATGAACACATGGCTTGATAGAGTGGAATCCATACTGACTCACATTGCCAACGAAGTTAAGCTGGCAAATGATCGCCGGTTCGAAATGCAGCTCCATAAAAAGAGAGTACAAGAAGCAGCCGCTTCGGTAAAAGAAGCATTGCGGGGTCAACTTTCTAAAACAGAGGTAAGCCTTCTGTACAATCTTCGCATAGCACTGAGTTTCCAATTGCACCTCTCACGAAACAGTTCATTTGGGAGTATTTCACACCTCGTTTTTTTAGATAGGTAGATTGTTTATATACTCGTGTTTGAGGGTGGTGCGGATAATAACTATCTCAGCCATCATTCCTACCGAGGTTCTTAAACGCGTGGTACCTCATCTTAGAACACCTGCGCGTTGAATGCGAACCCTATGAACATTCTCAACTGACATTCTCGCTGACTAAAGTGCCTTCCATTTATACTAGTGTTCACATTTGCCCACTGTGTACCTGTTTGGTGCACCACTCCCCGCGTTGTTTTGCACTCTATTCGTCATTCATATGCTTTTTGTCCTCCAAAAATACTGATATTGTGCTGTTGGTCTCCCTGAGCCGAATTCCAGGCCTCATTTCGAAAACACCACTTAATAGTCTCTAGTATGAATTCCGTATTCGTTGCACTGCTGACTGTCGCTGGGATAATGTTCATGCTCCCAGTTTTTTGACCCGATTCACACAACTAACAATACTCTCATGCCACATC